ATTTCTGTCAGTTTCACATGTATTAGGCAGTAATTTGGGCGGAGAGTTGTTTACAACCAATACAAGTTCAAAAGCTGCAGATCATGCAAAGTCTTGCATGACATTTAGATTTTCTTTGTTAAATTTTGTCAAACTTGAACAAAGTCTTTATCATTTCTTAGCAAAAGATGATCAAACCTTCAAGAGTTTGACTCAAAACACACTGGACACTATGCATTCCTTGAAGATTTACAAGGTTTTTATTAGGGATGCACAGATGCCGATACCAGTATCGGTATTGGTAAAAGTTAACCGATACCAGGAACCGATACCAATGCAGTTGCTTGAAAATGGCTTCACTGTAATTTGGCATTTCTGTTCACCTAACATTTTAGTTTTGTGATGATTTCTATTCATATATTTTACTTTTTATCTACCTCACAGTCTTTTCCTGTTGAAAGCAGAGAAGAAATTAAAATCTGTATTCCAAATCATTGCATTTTTTGTGTGGTGGAAGTATCGGTAATCGGCATCGGCGAGCACTCAGATCCAAGTATCGGTATCGTATCGGTTTGGAAAAAAGTGGTATTGGTGCATCCCTAGTTTTTATTCTAAGACACTGTCCAGACAAGATTTTAGATTTATTGTTAAATTTCAATTCTTCTTAATTCCACTCTTTCCCTATTTAAGGTTGGATATTGAGCCATCATGGAATCACAGAATGGCGCTAAGTCCACTGAGTGAAATTTGTAGTAAAGGTCGAGTTCTCTTGATCTTTTGCAGGTTTGTTAACCAACAGCTGATGTAACGCTGACCGTCATAACGTAAAACCCACTATGAAAAGGCGCCATGTGCTCATTCGCAGCTGTGCACTATTAAACAAAAGCTCACAGCCACACAGCCGCGAGCACCAAAGTGTGTAGGAGGTAATGAGCTCACGTGTACACACAAACACATTCTTAGATGATTAATCAGATCTCATCCATTCACTTTGAATTGACAGTCTCCGCGCTCGTTTTCCAGGTGTTTAAGTGACTTTGATGAATTTTCATTTTCCCCGTTTGTCCCTCCCGCTCTCTCTCACCTCTGCCATCTTTGGTTGACCATCTCTCCCTCCCCTCTTGCACTCCTTGTATTTTTTATTTTTTACACACGCATTTATTTGAAAGCGATTGACCGCTAATGACGAATGAAAAAGTGGTTCATTTCCTGCTGGTGTGGAATAGCTTCTTAAAAGAAAGGAGCACAGCAATCGCACACAAGCTGGCAGGGCTGATTGCCGCTGTGGTCCTGAATCTGTGCTGCTTTCAGGTTCTGCTCCTACCATTATTTGTGTTATTTTAGGCTTGAATGGAACCACTGGTTGCCAATCTTTGTGCTGGGAAATTTTGCATAAAGATAAAAGTTTTTGAACCCCCACAAGGCACCGTTGGGTGTCTTATTACATCCTACTTGATTTGTTTATGCACTGCTATAAAAAAGTTTTTCCTCTTTCTGTGGATTCCTGCTGTATCGACTGAGTGGCCTCATGAGAGCTGATTTGTGGTTGTACAGTTACTTTACCGAGATTGGTGTAATTTAGTTTTTCTGTTTGTATTTGATCTGAGGGGAAACAAACCCAAGTGGCTAAAAATGGTTACGAACTATTATCTGGAAAAGCTGGAAACTTATCTGCACGTTTTTAATTTGGGCTGGGAAATGAATCAGATTTGTATTCAGTTTCAGCACCAAAACGATCACAAAAAAAAGTAAACGGCAAAGAAAAAAATGATTAAAAACATACAATTATTATTCTGCTTTCAAGCATGCTTTTATTTTGTCGTGGCATGCAAATGATGGAACTTCTACCCTTAAACTTGATGCCTCATGGGGTTATGTTCCAAACATATCAGCACAACTAAAGATGACAGAATGAAGGCAAAACACAGACGCAGTATTTGATGCTTCACAACAATTAAGAGTTCAGTTGGAAAAGAGATGAAAGTAAATCCACCAAACTTTATTTTGACTGATTGACAAAGTAAGTAATAAAAATACGCTTAAAAATATTTTTTTTTTTATAAATCAGGGTTATCTGTATTTGAAATGATTTCTTGAAGTACATTCCTCTCGATAAATATAAAATGTGTCACCATTCATTAATAACCAATACATATTTGTAACAGTAACACCAAGCCTCACCATAATCAGTATAAAGGACAAACTGTTATTTAGCATTCATAAACATTAAAACCAATTTTAAATGGTACCATTTTAGTATGGTGTTCTAGTCTGTTCTGTTGGTCTCAGTGATGAAAGACAAGGCTGGGACAGTTGGTAGCATGAGTTAGGGATTTCCCGATGCAACTTTTTCACTTCCGATACAATACAGATATTGCAGCCGTCAGTATTGACCGATACTGAAATCATTCCAATACAATATCAGCAAAAATCATACACTTTTACCTATTGTAGTGTGGAATGTATGAAAGGCTTGATCAAATGATACTACTCAATCGGAGAACAAGAGCCAATAATAGTAAGTGTGAATAAAATGACAATTTTTTATTAACCATTGGTTGGAAAAATGCGAACGTTAACGGACAGCTTATATTGGAGATTTTTGATGCAGTCCGATATAATGAGATATAGTGTTTTTGGGCCGATATTGAAATACTTTTGATATCGATATCAAAACAGGACATCCCTAGCATGGCTAACTAAAGGCCCATTGCTCTGGATAGCATACTGTCAGAAGTCTTGGAAAGAATTCTGCTGGACAGAAATAATGACACCTTAAAAATGAAAGATAATCATCAGTTTGGGTTACCATAACACACCACACCACACCATACCACATTTATTTATTGAGCACATTTAAAAAAAGCATGTCAGCTGACCAATGTGCTTGAACACAGAAAGAGGACAATGTAAAAAGAGACAAAAGAGCAGTAAAACCAATGTTAAAATGAGCCCACACTATCAAAGAATGTACAACAGGCTGATTAAATATAATGTCAAGAATGCAACCCAATTTGAAAAAACAAAACATAAACCATTGGTTGCAATAACAAGATAAAAACAACAGAATAAGAGCAAAAGAGTGATAAAACAGTAAAAGGAAATAAATACAATTCAGTGACAAAGTCTGCTAGTTAAAATTTTACCGCCCAAAAGCCATTCTGAAGAGATATGTCTTAGCAGTCAAAGATGTGGAAACATTGGTATAACAGTCTTTTCCTTTTTTCGATTAGCAAGTTACTATAATGCATACTTTATTTTCAAACTACTGTTATTATTGTCTCTTGTTTCTGTTTTTCATGAGTATTTGTCTCTTGTGCTTTAGTGTCATATTGTGCTTATTTTATTTTATCTTACCTGTACAATGTTTTCTACTTCTGTGAATTGGACTAATAAAGAAATACTTGACTTGACTATAAGACTCCTTTATGGCATTCTTGTGGATATTTAAATGGTGATAAAGTACAATATGATATATTTAAAGGGATGGTGGGCAGTTGTGCTTGCTTTTAGCACCCCCTAGTGTCCATTATTAATTGACTGTGGTTGAAATGTGAAACTTATCATCTCGCTCTGCATTTGTCATTTTAACACCTAAATCTAACTGCTGAATTTAGGGCTTGTGAATAGTCTCCTCAGCCTTCATTAGTTTCTACAGGAGCAGTTCATCACTAATGCCCTTTTCAGATAGACATTCTGGAACATTTGCGGACAATTCAATCCGGTTTTTAACCGGAACTGTGTTTTCAGACACACCTCTTTTGTACCGGAACTTGTCCTTTCGGCTGCGTTCACACAGCAGGGAAAGGTTCCAGATGTCTGACGGCGGCGGCGGGGGGGGGGGGGGGGGGGGGGGGGTGTCGGAGAAGAAGAAGAAAATATCACTTCTATAGCGCCTCTCAAGATAAAAATTACCAGGCACTTAAGCATAATTCTGCGCACACGAAGACGCATAAGAGACCTGGATGATGAAGCTCAATGGTTAAAGGAATCACTGAAGCGGTGTGAAGCGCTCCGTCGAGTGTCTAGGCGGTACCGTAGGAGGCGAGCTGCCATGGTTCGCCGCATGCTACAGCAGAGGGCTATCTAGGTGCGCACAGCGTCCCCCGGTCCCCTCCTCCTCCCCCTCCCTCTTGTCCGGAACTTTACCTCACCAGTCTGAAGCAGCCACCCTGTCCGCAACAAGTCCGGACCTGTTACTAGGGGCTTCGTCCGGTAAAATTCCGGAACACGTTATCCGGATGTTTGTATTCAGACACAAAGGTCTTACGGACAGAGTCCGGAACATTTCCGTTTTTCATGGCCTGTCTGAAGGGGGCTTTAATGTGTGGGGTATGAATAGCATTTCATTAACCCTGTAAAGGGTTGTTTTAGCACATAGTGGCTCAAGAAAAGAATTTAAAACAATGAATAAGTTGCATAGTATCACTTTAAAAGTTGCGCTTACATGGTAGTAACATAGTCTGATGAAATTCTTTCTAGATGAAATTTATAGTTGAACAGATTTGGCTCGCGGTTCGGCAATAAATCAGTCAGTTTAGTTTCTTTCTCAACCTTAATTAATGCAAATAAACACACAAATCGTTTATAAAGTTTTTGCTGGTTAATTAAGTACCATCTATAAACTATGAGCCATTGATAAGGCAAGCCTACTGTAAAAGGATGTTTGATATACAGCGGTTTTATTTTGAGAGTTCCACCTACGTATACTGTGTATATTGCTTGTGTATTTTCTCCTAAAGAGGAGGAATAAGTGCAGTGTGTTTGTTCAACTCACTTAACAATTGAGTAAAATAATCGTAATTTCAACACTGACAACAGTTATATTAATTATGATTCTATAATCATCCAGCTGAGTTTCTAACCCGCAATGCGATCTAAAGACAATTCAAGAACTAGAATTACAAACTGCTTGTCTCAATCCAGATGGAACACCATCCTGATCTGAAGCACCATCTGATAAGCCTTCTGTTTTTTCCTCACACTTTGACATCTTTGCTGACATTCCCCTCCTCTTCCAGATCCCAGAGGAGACTTACCAGAGTGCCGCTGGCTTGAGCGACGTCCAGCAGAGGGAAGGCAGAAGGAGAGAAAGGCAGGAAAGGACAAAACACGGTGTTCGGAGGAGGTGAAAGCTCTGGATGAGCCACGCCCCCTTCATATTGAAGCCCCTCCCCCAGAGGAAGTGTCGTGAGTACCTTTTTTTTGTCTGTCTTTGACTCATCCTCAAATTTACTTATAAACTCTTTGTTTTCATGCAAAATGCTCTAAATGGCACACCTAAAAATAGAATTTGATCCCTTTTTTCTAGATTTCAGATGTATTTCAGACAGCTTCTTTAATCCCTTGTTTGCATACACAGATTAGCTAAACATGATGGCATATGTCTGTTCACCAAGTGGCAAAGATCCAACGAGCTCTTCCAGCGAAGCCAGTCTTGTTCTTGTTCAAATGCTTAAAGACCAGCTTAATAGGTGCCTTGATGTTGAGTAAATAATGCATGTTAGGTTACTGATTAGAATATGTCCCATGAGCACCACAGGTAAGTCATGTCACCTGACGTATACCTTCAGTTACAGGAAACAGGAAAATTGTTGGACGGGTTTTTTTCTTTCTATTTTTAATCGGAGTCAAACGGGGTGAACGTTTCGGGAAACCAGACAGAACAACCTGGTTTTGCTGCTGTCCTGACGTAAGCAGATCACACGTCGAACGAAGAACAAAAACTACTAAACATGAAGGTTTTGCTAAATTTTCAAACAACTAATAAAACTATATTTTCTTTAGTTCCTGTCTGTAGCAACTACAGCTGCACCTCTCACCATCATCAGATCAAAACGTGCATTCATTTATTTTTTTAAACTGATCTCCAGCCTTTTTTTTTTTGACTTAAGCCCCCTAACCCACCCGGCTTTAACCCCCTACAAGATAAAAACAAATAAAATAAAAAAAACATGTGAAGGCTGTTACCTGCTACTTTGAGGGGTGACATTTTTCACAGGATGCTGAACTTTGGCTGAGAAGCGAGTAAGTGACATTTTGGCATTCGCCATTTGCCGGCAGGGCTGGATTTGTTTAATGGCGAACTCTCAGGAAGGAGCATGAAGTGGTGTGACTTGTGTGTCTCTCAAGCAAAGAAGGGACAAGTAGACATCCTTTTATTGTTGCCGTTGCCACTTAGTGGAACTTTTTGACAGCCGAGCCTATTGGAAGCTCTCATAGCTTTTCTTTCCTTCTTTTTCTGGGTTGAAAACCTGCTATTTTATCTGTTTGAACAAGACAAGATTAATTCTTATTTCTCGTATAATGACTGTGTTAAAATATACAGCTGCCTTTGATGGAAGTCTCCAGGGAGACGATTGCATCGTTGTAGTGTAAGAGTGTAGTCTGTAATTGATGAATGTGTTGTGCTTGTGCATCAGAAGAGGCTTTCAGTTCCTCAAACGCTTAAGTAAACAGATACACGGTGCGTGAGAATGACAGATTGACTTTGGGAGACGCACCTGCACCATCTCAGCCAGAGTTTAGGGCTCCACCACCTACGTCTGGTACACGCGGCAAGATCATTATGCCAAATTTTCACCTGATTTTCCTTTTTTTAACAATCTTTAGAAAATCCACGATTATCGTAATGGCTGTAAAGTTAATCTCATCAGATATTCCTGCCATGTATGGTCTATTAAGAGTGCACTTGTCTGCCCAGAAGCACCTTGGAGTTGCTATGATCATAAATGTTGTTGGCCTGATATTGCAACGTTTGTGGTGTTTGTGGTGAGCCACAAAGACAAAGAGCATGTAGCCTTTTGACTGTGACATTTGGCCAATCAGAAAGCAAGGTGATGGTGTACGTACCAGATCTGCTCAGGGACAATGCCGATGACGTCTCACTAGCTACGCCATTTGGACAAACTACATTTTACCCCAATTTTTACCCAGTTGAAGCTACAATGGGCAGATCTGCAAAACAAGTCAGCCCAAATCATTTTTTCATTTCTCTTGACAATGTTCTTGCATAGTATAGCTATAAATATAGTGTGGACATAAAAAACTGAGGTGATTCTCTCGCTTTTGCCTAAAAACCTCTGCCAATAACACAACTTGGTTCGAAATCAACTATTGGATCATCTGGTATTTGATCTTACTGAACCGCCCCATTCACCCAGTCCTCCATTCGTTATGCAATAGTGTATTTAGCAACAGATCACCACTGGTGTGAAAGGGTCTTTGATCACTAATACCAAAGAAGGAAAAACAGCCAACGGCTAACACTTCAACGTTGGGACAAACTACCAGAGTCATTTGAAATCACAGACAACAACAGATCTTTATTTAAAACTCAGGCATTAAATCTTGTAGTCAACAATGTCTATTAGGGATAAAGTACATAAACACAACTGGCCAGAGTAAAAAATAAAAATAAAACAACTTTATTAGAAGTAGATATTTCCACCTTTGTTAATTGTAATCAGATTTACAGATATTGAGCTACATTTTTGTGTTATATTAGCAAAGAGTCATTTACTATAAGCACCTCTCTGTATCAGAATTGAACATAACAATAAAAAAATCCATGAAAAACAGAGCAATAAAACAAATACAAACATCACACAGATATTGATTAAAGTGATAAAACAGAGACAAAAAAATTCTACAAACCATATTACGTAAAAGCCAAATGATAAAAGAAGTCTTCAAGCAACTATTGAAGACCTGTAGAGATGGTGACTGTTTGATAGGGTGGTAGCTCCTTCCAGAGTGTAGGAGCTAAGACAGAAAAAGCCCAATCACACCTTGACCCTATACCTAGATCAGCAACTCCCACTCAGCTGAGCGTAGGGCGCGTGAAGGGGTATGCCATTGTAGTAACCCAGCCAGGTACGGTAGGACATTACCATGAAGAGACCGGCGAACATACAACAGAATTTTAAATTTGGTCCGATAACCTACAGGGAGCCAGTGTGACAGTTCCTGCACAGGTGTAATGTGTTTTTATGTACTTCAAATGCTGTTTTTTATGTAATGAACTGACTGTAGTGCTGTTGTGAAGTTCTATGGTGTTGGACAGCAAAAGCTTTTTTCTTGGCATGTATAATTTTCTTGCATCAAACACTTTGCTCTAGAGCAGTCGGTCCAGGACAAACTGCCAGCCAAATGAAATAAATATCACATTTTCCTTAAATCTCCTTACAGTGGAGTTATTTGTTCAGATTATTTAGAAATATTTAATCCTATTGTAGAGACAGACACCCAACGCCTTACAGAGCTCCCAAGATCTGAACACAACGCTTCTTTGGACTGTAATGACAAATAGAACAACAGACTGAAGATTTTATTAGTTCAAATAAGACAGATTAAGGTCTCGATCTGCAGATAATCCCAGAGATGTAGTCCCAGTGTGCGGCGTGGAGTCGGTCTGGGATGGTTCTGATCAGACGCCTCAGAAGAAAACCAAATCCCAGAGGGGAAAACTCAGATCCTCAGTGGACATCGTTGAAAAGAATAACTGTTCACTTTAATTTTACTTAAACAAACAATACATTCTTAGTCAATTGGACTTCATAAAAAGGCCGTTGACAGAATGCACAACGCACCACATTTGCTTTAAAGAAATGAAGACTCGACTGGCAAAACCGGCTCAAACTGCTTCCTCCTATCTGGTGTTTGGCACCAGTTTCACTGAAATCAAACACCAGTGTAACTCATAGTCCCTCCATCAGGAAAAGGAAACTTCAGAGGGAAATCAAATCCACATTTTGGGCTCTTTCTGTCCCTTTTATGTCCTTCAGTCGTTCAGAAAGTGACAGAAGAGGACGGAAAGTGTACACTTTAGCAGAATTCAAAGCCTCAAGAGGCTTTTATGTGTCCGGGGTCCAGTTTGTGGCTTGATTCTTTCTTCTTCATTCATCCGCAATCTTGGATCTCTTTGCAACTAATTTGTTGTTTGTTCTTTCTGCTTACTAATTATTTGAATTTGTTGGGTTGTTTTTAGGGAATTTGGAGAAATGGTGTGGAAAACTCACCCTGAAGGTGGTTGAAAATGTGGATTCTTTGTCGAAAAGAAAGTTTTAAAAGAAGGTGAGGAGATCTAGTGGTGGGTTATGATGGTGGTGGTTAACCCTGATGGCTCTGAGTGAAAGTGGCTTGAGTGAGGAGGGGGGGGGGGGATGTCAGCGAAAGATGACATTTAATTTCCAAAATTCAGAAGTGAACTGCACTTCTCTCCAGACTGGACCTGTGGTGTTAAAATGCGAAGAAGAACTGGTTTTAGGAGAGGAGGAAGAGGGGAGAAAGCATCCCAGAGAGGCCTAAATGAAAGTATAAAAGACGAGATCTGATACTTGAGGAAAAGAGCAGCAGGGGAGAGACGAATCCCGGATCGAGCTCAGACACAAGCTGACTGATGGAAAGAGAAGATTCTCAAGATGACTTCTACAATCATGTGGAATTGCGTTTCACTGTGTACGAGTGTAGATTCCTCCTCAGCTGGAACAGCACGCTTAGTTCAGCAGGTTCAGGCTGTAACATTTTCAACATGGCAGAGTCCAGAGCCTCTGGTGCCCCCGCGGCACTAAACCCAACTTTGTAGTCGGTACTGCCACACAGGACCGCTGCTGCTTCAGATGCTCGTGTAATTTGGTGCAGTGCACGTTTGGGGAAGTTTTCAACAAAGCTGGCTTCAGAAGAGGCTCTGGTTTGTGATAAAAGTTCGGTCACCACATCTGGAGCTGTCAGGGAGGTCCTGTGGGTCTAGGATTTCTGCAGTGTGTTTGTTACACGCATGAAAGGAGCGTGGACAGGATGTACTGATAAAACTCCCAACATACCATCTGTTTAGTAAGTAATCAAACATAGACATGGGTTACACATAAGTAGAATCAAACAGGCAGGCCAATATGTAATAAAGTGAAGAGAGATTGTTGGAAATGAAACAATATCCCCGTCAGAGTCGGTTTTACGTTTTCAGATCATTTCTGTCTCTCTCTACTTTAGATTTATGCTATTTCACAATTCTGACACATTGTGAGATGATTTGCATGAATGTCCCAGCTCGTGTCGCAATTTGATGCTCAAAAAAATGTCCTTTGTGTTACATTAAAATGTTACGAGTGTCAGTATTTTCACAAAAATGTGGAATAGGAGTTTGTACTCCAGTTATTTGCTGTGCTCTTCCCAGTCGTCAGAACAGGGAGCGAAATGAACAACTATCAAGGGCAAAATGTGGGAATGTTTTGGAATAAATTTGAATGATTATTAAAAATTGGTTCTTTTTTTATTGGCACCAGTTGATGCTGGGTTGTCCATCGCTGACAGAAAAATCCAGTCCCAGTTTTAACACTTATCATCCGTTTGTTTTGATAGACAATACTTCTCTTTTGTTTTACTCAAAAATACTCACTACATACTTCTAGATTTGGTCTCTGTACTAACAGGTAATGTATTACTGCCATAAAAGCAGCAGGAGATAATTTCTTTCACCCAAATGGCGAAATTTTATGTGTTCAGCTCCACACTAGTTTTACAACTAGACAACTCCTTCACTTTCCAACAATCTTTATTATTTCAGTTCAGTGATTATCAGGTTGATAACCTTCAAAGAACAGAGACAAGTGTTAAATACCACATAATTTATATAAAATACAATAAACAAAGAACTTTCTAAACTAAATCTTCCTACACTAAAAGTGTAAATGAATAAATTAAAACATGACTGAATCACTAAAATTCAATCAATAAATTAAGTTTTCAATCATTTAAAAAAGGGATATTAAAGCATCAAGTGTAACAATGACAAATCAAATGTCTACATGCTTGAAAACACCTGTATTCAATCAAACTCAAACAACATGACTTTAGTGGTCAACCTAAACAACTTCATGTCATAAACAAAACAATATCCACCAACCATTGGCGTCTTTAGAGTCAACTCATGAGTAGAGCTTGCTGTGCTGTTCCTGTTTGACTGAGGACTGAGAGCAGGGTGTCCGCGGGGTTTTAAAAAGTATTAAAAAGTGATAAATAAAAACAGTCAAATTTAAGGCCAAGTGTTAAATTTGGTCTCAGAGGTATTATTTTTTCTAAATTAGGTTTTTTTTTTCAGACTATCAGATGTCGTATTCTGAACATCGACATAGAAATATATTCCGAATGAAATGTTTTGAACGATTATAAAAACAAAACAAGCTGATTATTTGCTCCTCCCACTTGCGCTGCCTTGAGTTGCAAATGAAGCGCTCCTCCCAGTGTTGCCAACTTAGCGACTTTGACGCTATTTCTAACAGCTTCTCAGGCCCCCTTCTTGACTTTTTAAATCTTAAAAGTACCTAGCGAACACCTCAGAAACATCTCTGGTAACCCTTAGCTACTTTCTGGATAATTGTCGTCGACGTTTCCTGCAGGTTAGCTAAACACTCCGCCTGCGCTCCGGACCGTTCTTCAGGACATTAGGAAAGGGAATGATGTAGTGATGTGTCAGTCGCTAAAGAAACAGCTCTCGGAGCCGGCTCCTTGTTGGAGTAACCAGAGTGAGTGACACACACACCGCACCTGCGGACTCCTGAGCCGATAAAAACGGCTAAATGTGCGTGTGCGGCACGCTAAACACACGTGCAGCTTGCCCCTGATTGCTGAGACCGGGGTGGGGGGTGGGGGGGGGGGGGGGTGCAGCTGTGGTTGGGACAATTATTACATTAACTGATGGACTTGTAAATAAATAGTTTATAAATCAGGTAGAAATAACTTCCTCACGCTGATAAATAACTAATCTCTCTGAGGACACGGTGCTAGTGCACTCTCCTACAGCACCTTGACACGACTCAGTAAATGTTATGCAACATTTAGTGAACAGCAATTTGCATGTATTTGTTATAAATGCCACAGTATAATTCTTGCTGTCAGTATTTGCAAGATATTGGTATTTGGGTCTGTACTGGTTAGACTTAAATGAGTTAAACCAAGGTCTATAGCCCTTGGGTCATAAACTATGAGCTATAAGTATATTGGTCTTTTTATACTGGGAATCAGGAGTTCTTTTAGTGATCATCTTGTTTCTTGTTTATTTTTGCCCTGATTGTGCCCTGAGCAGTTTTATGACTGAATAAAAATAAAAAAATAAAAATCTACATAAATTGAAAAATCGTCTTAAATAATCGAGATCTCAATTTCAGTCACAATCGTGACTATTGTTTTTGCCATAATCGAGCAGCCCTACTTTAGCATATCCGGTCACATAATGATGACGTCATATTCAGTGGTCATTGTGCATCATTTCAGGCCTCGTGGTCAACTGTCTGAACCGCTGAACATAAGTGCCTGGCTTATTTTCTAAGTAAAATAAATATGTGCAATACGTTGTCAACATCAGTGAGTTTCTAAGTCTATTCTTTTTGTATGTTAAAATATGTGTAAATAGGTCGCTGATTAACACTTGCAATTTAGTGTTGTGATGGTTTTAAAAAAATTCTGAAGGTAGTATAAAAAGTATTGAAAAGTAGTAAATTTTACTTAAGGATTGCTGTATATACCCTGTGAGAGCCACCATCCTGCATAGGTGTTTTTTATCAGCAATCAGTCGCCTTTTTGTTGGTACATTCTGGGAGATGTAGTTCTCAGTGGTGGTGGACCAATTAGACCTCCACTTACTCAGCTTTAATCCAACATTATGAGAAAGAAAACATCTCTCCACTGTTGACCTGTTTTGTGGCACTAACGCTGAAGCAACAACTGGTAAAGAGAGAATGTTTGATCATAAACTCCTGTTTTGCAAATAGAAAACCAACTTTAAGTGTTGCGTTTTCAACTCGTGTAAAAAAAACAGGGTATTTATTGATTTTTATCTCCAATTTAGGCAGGGTGTGTGAGCGGCATGTTACGGCAGTGTCGCTGTCTCTACGGGTAATAGAAGCCATCATAGTCTATGGTTTGAAAGTGGGCTGGACTTTTTTCCAAGTGTACCGGAGTACCGGTACCATCTATCATTCAAAATCAGTCTGTCTTCTGGTTCCATCTAAAGAAGAATGGAGGGATGTCTTCTAGCCCTACTGTCGCAGTTTGACGCTCTGTGGATAGTCTGGACGTACCGGCACTTAATCCTTTTCTCTGAAAGCGCTGCACAGGGGTGCGTGTCAGACACGTCCCAGAAGTGTGCTCCACTAAAGATAGGGCTTTGGGTTCTATTTTAGACGTAACACACTTCCTGAATTCACGAAACTCTGCAGTTCACGTATGCTTAAACATGAAATCACACGCGATATCAGTTTAAAGCATCCGGTAAATTTCAAAATAAAAGATACACGCTGAGTTGCGATTGCGCAACTATGTAAATGTTCGTGACCAAAAAGCTCGATCTTTTGAGGAGAGCAACGACATTTTTTCAGCATGGACAACAGGGCTTTTATAGCCTGGCAAGCCAGACTAAATAAATATATTATTTAGTTTAGCAACACTGCATTAATGGCTCTCGGTCGTGGGGTGGGTTCTACCGTTGTCTTTTACAGGTGCTGGCCAGTAAATTAGAATATCATCAAAAGGTTGAAAATATTTCAGTAATTCCATTCAAAACGTGAAACTTGTACATTATATTCATGCAATGCACACAGACCAATGTATTTCCGATGTTTATTACGTTTAATTTTGATATTTATAGGTGACAACCAATGAAAACATCAAATCTGGTATCTCAGAAAATTAGAATATTCTAAAGGCCAATGAAAAAATGTTTGTTTCTCTAATGTTGGCCAACTGAAAAGAATGAACATGAAAAGAATGTGCATGTATAGCACTCAATACTTAGTCGGGGCTCCTTTTGCCTCAATAACTGCAGTAATGCGGCGTGGCATGGACTCGATCAGTCTGTGGCACTGCTCAGGTGTTATGAGAGCCCAGGTTGCTCTGATAGTCGTCTTCAGCTCCTCTGCATTGTTGGGTCTAGCGTATTGCATCCTCCGCTTCACAATACCCCATAGATTTTCTATGGGGTTAAGGTCAGGCGAGTTTGCTGGCCAATCAAGGACAGGGATACCATGGTCCTTGAACCAGGTGCTGGTGGTTTTGGCACTGTGTGCAGGTGCCAAGTCCTG